GGAGGAGGAGGAGGAGGAGGAAGAAAGTAAAAAAGTTTTTTTTCCATAATCATATCTTAGTACATGGGTTGGTTAGTGTTGATTTCATTCAAAACATATACAGGTGTCATTTACAATATGCTCATCACTTCAGTTTTCTTCATTCCACATGATTTCTTCCTCTTTTACTGTTAATATGTATAGATTTAATTTGTACACAACTGCTGAAAGAATATTCTATGCTATGACTGTATCACATTTCATTCATCTATTTCACAAACAACAAACTTTGTGTCCAAGTTTTGGCTACCATAATTCATACTGTAATAAACAGTGTAGATGTTTCAGATTTTGAGGTCTGCCTATTGATCAATTAATCAAGGCCAATATAGATAGATACATAGACCCAAGATTAATTGCTAACCTAGCGTTGTACACCTGTAAATGCAGTATTTGGGAGGTTGAAGCCGGAGGATTATACATTCAAGCCTCACCTGGGCAACTTAAAGAGACCCTATTCCAAAAACATGGGCTGGGGATATAGCTTACCACAAAAACAATGGGATCAATTCCCAGTACCAAAAACAAAGAAGGAACTGCTAAAAATCCTGGATCCTAGTTTAGAAATTTTCTCTTGCCTCAAGATTAAAAATATTCCCCTATAAAATCTTATATTGTTCCACTTTTTGCATTCTAATCTTAAGTACATTTAGAATGTATAAATTACAAATATTTTCATGTACAATGATGGCAGAGATCTAGTATTTTACCATAAGAAGAATTAATTACCTTGAGATCAATTTTTGTCATCCATGATCCAATTTGAGATACCATTTCTATCAATTACAAATTTCCTATAAATTCAAGCATTTCTGGATTTAAGTCTCTCCTAATTTCACTTTTCTACAAATGTAAAACAATAATTTTGATGATTATAGTTTCACAAACTTCCTATGTAGCAAAACAAGATGGTAATTTTATCTAATTTCAAATCTTTGTATCTTTCATATTGTCTTAACGCAGCTGGTAGGCCCTTTAGACTTAATGCTAATTAATGTCCATTACTGTATCCTAATTGTACGCAGAATACTTCTTAAAGTTTAGTATTAACAATGTTTATTGTGGGAGTTTCAGGGATATAGGCTTTCATTATACTCTGACACTTATTAAATAGTTTTGAGTTGCTGCAGAAAAATTTCTACATGTATATCTCTTTAATGTAAAACAAAATTAGAAATATTATTAAGTGTAAATTCTGCTGAAAGGTTTCCTAAATCCCAGGCATTCATACGACTTTGAGGAGTACGAATTTTCTGGTGTCTAATGCAATGTGACTTCTGTCTGAAAGCTTTCCCACATTCACTGCATTGATAAGGGTTTTCACCAGTATGGATTCTCATGTGTAGACCAAGAGTTGAGAACTGAGAAAAAGCTTTCCCACATTCATTACGACCATAGGGTTTCTCACCTGTATGGATTCTCATGTGCGCAGTAAGAGATGAGCTTTGACGGAAGGCTTTCCCACATATTTTACATTCATAAGGTTTATCACCTGTATGAATTCTCACACACACAGTGAGTGATGTGACCCATGAAAAGGCCTTTCCACATTCATTACATTCATAGGATTTTTCTCTCATATGGACACTGTGATGTTTAATGAGGTATTGCTTCTGCCTGAAGATTGTTCCACATTCATTACATTTATATTGTTTCTCTCCAATATGAATTTTCTCGTGCTCAGTGAGATTTGACTTGCCACTGAAGGCTTTCCCACATTGCTTACATGTGTAGGGTTTCTCTCCAGTGTGACTTCTTTCATGTCTTATGAGGCCTAACTTCTGAATGAAAGCTTTTCTACACACTTTATATTCATAATAAAATTTCTCTCCTGTATGGATTCTCTGATGGGTAATGAGGTTTTCTTTCTGGCTAAAGGTTTTCTCACACTCATTACATTTGAAAGGTTTCTTTCCGCTATGGATATTCTGATGTTTAATGAGATGTTGCTTCTGGTGGAAGGCTCTTCCACACCAGTTACTTTCAAATGGGTTTTCTTCAGTGTGAATTTTCTCATGTTCACTGAGGTATTACTTGCTATTAAAAGCTTTCCCACATTCCTTACTGCATATAGTTTATTTCCTGTATGATTTCTCTGATGCCTGATGAGGGCTACCATTTGAATAGGTGCTTTCCAAAATTCAGAAGGTTTTTCTCCACTATAATATTTCTGATGAGAAAGAAAGTTTCCCTTCTGGCTGAAGTATTTTCCACATTCATTACATTCACGTGATTTCTTCCCTTTATGACTTCTCAAACGTAGAGTAAAGGATGAGATCTGAGAGAACACTTTACCACATTCAATATATTCATGTGATTTCTCTCCAGTATGCATTTTCTTATGTTCTACAAAGTTTCTTTTCAGCCTACAAGTTCTTCTACACTCCTTACATTCATAAAGTTGCTTTCCAATATGAATTTCATCATCCTGAATGAGATCTGATTCGCTCTGAAGACATTCTAGCATTTTTGTCATGCATGGGAATTTTCTCCTAGGTTCCCCTAGTATCTGCTGAGATGCATTAAGGATAAGAGCTTTCCAACATTCACTGAAGTCATATGGTTTCTTTTCAATATTAATTATCGGGTATGGTAATGAATTTATGAAAGAAAACTTTTCTTGCATTGATTATTCTGAGATGCAGTGATTATATAAAGGGATAAAACCATAGCATTCTCTTTATATGAATGTGTCTTTCTTATACACTATCATGTTTAAATTATACATAAGTATGAATTGTGTTTCAAACTCTCTTAAACTTAGTCCCATATATAGAAGCCTAGCCCTGAAATCAGTGTGTATCACTGCAATGTCAGTTAATTCTCAGAGGAAATACTTTCCTGTTTCCTATGTTTTCTGAGTTTTTCCTTAGTATATATTTTCACAAAGAAATATGAAATATAACTCACAAGTCTTTAATGTTGATTTCTCATCTGCTTATGAACTGCCAGGCTTCTTCCACAGACAAAGAGGGCAACCAAGATTGACTTTTCATTGCAAGCTTTTGATCTAGCCAATGGCAGGAAGGATAAGAAGACCATGGAGAAAATTTTCATGATGCTTCTCACCCAATTGGCAAGCTATATCACCCAATAGATTCCCATGGAATTCACCAAATATGAGTTATGTGAGTAGAGAATTTGGAAAGGGCTGAACCTTCCTGAGGGCTTCCCTTGCTATTTCATAACACATTGTCACATTGAAACCTCACGGCAACCCTGTTGGTATAGCACACAATTTTCCCATTTTGTGGCCAAGAAGTATTCATGAAAAGAAGATGAGACTTCAGCCAGTTTGTGGAGGTCTAAGATTTCAGTCTGGCTTTCTGTAAAACACATGTTTTTCTCTCTGCACAATCCAGGTTCTGGCCTTCCAGACCCAGGGGTGTTTTGATTTTTTATTCTTTGGTTCAAAGTGAAGTGCTGTAAACAACTCATTATTTCCACGTATTCAGACACCGGACTTTGTAATTAATGATGATGACAATGATGATGATGATGATGATAACTTGACCAGGGAATTCCTATAGAAATAAGATGCCTTTCTCTAGACTGACTTGATTCAAAATAAAGTCAAAGAGGGCTTTTATTCCAAGGGCTGTTGCTATGAATGTGCAGCATCCATGCACTCCCATTCCTCCTTCACTTCTTTCCTTGGTGGATCCATGCTCTGACCCATGCTGTGATTGATCCCAGGGTATTATGTTTGCACTCAGCTCACAGCTGGATGGGAGTGACCTTGACCTACTCCTTTTCTAGGACATCAACTATTGATCGGCTGCACCTGAACGGCAGCAGACTTGGTGATATTCATGAATGCAGCAAGGCCACATTTGCTGTCTACATAGGGCTATTTCTCCTTCCAAAGACCCGGGGATGTAAATAGCATGGTTTGGAGGGCGGACGCAGGCAAAGTGAGCATTGGGAAGTGGGACGGCACACGCAAGAGACTGGGTCTAAATAATAAAGCAGCTCCAAAAGTTTTCCAGGACCTGGGAATGCTGAGTGTAGGCTTCTGCTTCAGATTTCCAGGGAGCAAACCATGCTGAGAGGCAAAATGCAATCTCTGATCCATAAATGTAAACTGGGAAGGAAGATTATCCAACTTGCCTTATGAGTCACAGTGTGGTATGAGAGATAGGAGAGAGACGTAAAAAGAGGGGTTGGGGCAAAATTAAAATATTTGTTTGTTTGTTTGTTTGTTTTTGGTACAGGGGATTGAACTCGGGTCCTTGCTCTTGCAAGGCAGGCCGCCGAACTGCTGATCTAAATCCCCAGCTAAAATTAGAATTTTTATTCTTTAACAAATATCCGTTGACTCCTCCTACTGTGTCTGATGATATGCTAGTCAGTGAAGACAAAGCAAAGCCAATAGAATCTACTGGCGCTATTCATGTGATCACACAAGTGTACATATCTGAATTGTATTTATATTGATTTTCATTTTTATTAGTATGTGCTTGCAGTACTTACTGATTACATCATCATGGAGAGCTGGCACATCCACATCACCCATCTTAATTGTTTTTATGTCCCCTTCTTTTCCCTCATCTCTCAGTCCTCTTCTCTATTGCAAATATCTATTTCCATATTTCCTATTATCTTTTATTTCTTATCTTTTTATTTTTTATTTTCCCCTGAATTTATGTATGTTTTGGACTCCTCACATGAGAGAAATAATGCTGCATTCGAGCTCATGTATCTGATTTATTATTGGTGGGAATGTAAACTATTATAACCACTATGGAAATCAGTATGAAGAAGCCTCAGAAAACTAAAACTAGAAATTCTATTTGACCCTCTATTCCCCTTCTAGGTAGCTTCCCAAAGCATGCAAACTCTATTTACTAGGTAAAAAGATCCATGCAGCTATGAGCATGTCTATGAAGAGGTCCTGACTTATCCTAGGGAGTTGGTGTCACTGTACGGAGGGGACAAGACAAGACATATAAAAGTCTCGATGAAAAAGTCATCCATTATGTTCTAATCCCAATCTGTACAATAAAGCTGGTGGCAGAATGGTAAAAGAGTGGTGTGTGAGAATCAACTCATTGGGGGACTTTGTAGGCAACACTGAGGAGTTTTATGGCAAAGGATTCATGAAGAGCTAATTGTTGGGTGCCACGGATGCACTTTAGTGCAAGAGTAAAATGATGGGATTTACCGTTTTAAGAGATTACCCTGGCCACATGAATAATTAGATTGTTGAAAGCTTGCAGATGGATATTCAGTGCCTACTAGTAAAATCTGTTGAAGTTATCACTTTGCGTATAAGTATGGACAAATATAGGAAAGGAATCTGTTTTGTCTACTATTTTAATACAATGTGCCAAGGATTGTGACAACAACTTAGTAATGCTCATTTCATTTCATCTGTGTAAGATCTCTAAGAGGCAGACATATTTCTGTCACTTGACAGACAAGAGAATATTTACTTTGGTCAAATTTACCTGTTCCTACCTGATACATCCGTCTATGCCCCCAGCCAGGCACACATTCAAGTACACCCACATCCACCCTACTGTTTGCCAAGGCACCCACCCATCTACTTATGCATTTGTCTAGATGTTTGGTTGAGAATACAATGAAAGCCTTGTGTTAGGCCTCGGAATTAGACTGGCAAATAAGACACCACCCACACCCTCAAAAATGCATGCTCTAATGGAGCTATGAGTCAGTAAATTATTGACCACAGAGCAGTGGAGAATATTCTGTGATGTGGATGAACCCCAACTGCTTTGAAAAGCAAGGAGAAAATCTCCAGCCCTGGGATGTCAGGTCAGAAATCTTCCCCAAATTCTCATAACTGGTGTTTGTCAGAACCAAATCTGATCTGCATGTAGCTCTGCCTTTGTCTGAAACTCACATGTTCTCTGTGTTATCGTATAATAGAAACAATTACTTTGTAGTGTTTGGTAGACTCTCTGAAAATTTGTGACCCCTCTTAACTGAATCCCACTGGAGTGTGGCTGGAGCCAGGTCACTCGGGGAGCACTGAGCACTGAGGCCTCCATAAGCACCTGCCCATGACAGGCTGCATCTAATGGGCTCTTGCTCGGCAGAGGGGCACTCGGCACTCTGGCTGATGGGAATGGCCCCTCAGGCCAAACAAAAGATGATTTTCATGGACTGCTAACATTTGGGAGCATGAGAGAAAGAAATCTGGATGGAGCAAGGAAGAGCTATTAATTATAATCTTAGCTCAGGCCTAAGAGTGAGAAGTACTGCTTCAGAAAATCACTTGTCTCAGAGCAAAGGAAAGTGCTGTCAGCCATTCTGTGTCCATTTCAAGGACCCACAAGAGCATTACAAGGCTGCATGAACACATACACACAAAATGAACACACCCACCCACACAAACACACACATACACACACACACACACACACACACACGAATATATGTGCAAATGCACTTGTTTGCCAAGTACTAATTATATTCCAGGCATGGCATGCAGTGCTTGCCCACATTAATTAATGTCAGTTCATTCCTACAATAGCTCATTATTGTTATTTCTTAATTACTATTTGTCCCTTATCAATGGATTAAAGATATAGAGTCCTCTCCAGTGCGCCCTCCACTTGTTATTTCCAGACTCTTTTCTGACTTTTAGCAAGTGTATGAAAAAGGGCAAGTTACTTAGAAAAGATACTATTTTGCATTGACATCTTTTCCCCACTGTGATCTCAGGACAGGAGCCAACATTCATTACTTGGGCCTTGGAGGGGAATTATATGGCATCAGCTATCCCAGATGGCTATAGGAAAGGGAGAAGTGGCCTTTTTAATTGTGAAGATGAAGGGAAGAGCTTCACAGGATTAAACAACATTGAGCTTCACCTGCCCAGAGAGGAGATGCAGTTGGGTGTCAGACTCTGGGCTGGTGAGCACCGAGCACCCTGAGTGGGGAAATGAAGATGACCTGCACATCTCTGTCCCGCCAGGCAGACTCCTCTGTAAGGCACCTCAGAGCCCTTTGGGGCAGCTATGCCTTGCAGAGGGGATGCCAGGATCAACAGCTCTAGCCAAAGGACCGATCACACATGGGGGCTATTATGGCTTGTATTTAGATGTCCCCCTAAAGCCTCAGGTGATAATAGGTGCGGCTTTTTCAGAGGTAGCTGGATCTAGAATGCGTGACGCTAGAATGGATTCATGGTACAATGCTAGGCTCAAGGGCACCAGGATTAAGGCTGTGAGTGCTGCCTGCCCTAGGTAGTCTGAGTAAGATAAAAGGGGCAGAAAGGCCCTGTTAAGGGCCCTTATTACCTTTGCTGTCTTCTGCACACGATGAACTGTTTCTCCCCTGAGACGCCCCTCTGCCATGTGCCACTCTGCTTTGAACTCAGCTAGCTATGGAATGAAACCTTCACAAACTGTGAAGTAAACCAACTTTCCCCCTTCAACTTGGGTGTCAGGTATTGTGTCTCAACAACTAGAGAAAAGTAACTGAGACAGGGACATTGCACACACTGCAATAAATTAAGAACCACTACTCTCCTCTTATTCCTAAAACTTACTCCACCTCCAAGGCCAAAAGAGGCAATAGCGGAAGAGAGAAGCTTGCACATGTTGTAACCACTTCAATAGACTGTTAGGGAAAAGGAGAGGAACAAACTAAAGGTGTGCACTCAATAGGACAGGTTTATTTTAGAACAATTCTGAGAGAGAACACCCTGGAAGTTAGACCTAAACAGTTACTCTCGTACCGGCTATGAGTTCTTTTACAAGGTCATAAAGGGCCAAAGTTCAGTGAAAGGGAGTGGGGTCTACCTGCCAAAGAGAAAGTCTAGGTGGAGTGGCTGCCCCAGAAAGAGGCTTTGGAAGGCAGAGGATACAGTGATTATCAATAGCAGGGTGAATACTGGAGAGTTACAGGGTGCATCTGTGCTTACTGGGCTTTATGAACCCATGCGTATACATCCTTAGCAGATGCAAAAGCATCATGGGGGTGGTAGAGTGGCCACATCATTCATAACACCACTAAAACCCTTACACACAAGTGCACAGTCATATACACTTAAGTTACGCACTCTTTTTTGTTTTAGTGGCTGCATGTGTATGAATAGGTTTGTGCATGTGCACCTAGCACCTGTGTGCAGGAGCTGGAGGTGCTGTGGGGCCATCTGAATGCTTCCCTTAGAGAAGCATATGGAAGTAATGGACTTCTTAGAGGCCCAAATTAACCTTATCGAGTAGAGGAAAAAGGGAGAGCCTCCCAGATTAAAGGCCAGAGTGTCTTTTGCCACATGTAACATCAAGGCCAGGCTCAGAGCACAGGCAGGCTGGGCAGTGGCCTGCTTGGCATGTTGAAAATCTCCCCTCCAACCCAGAATCTTCCTTCGGCAGTTCAGCACCTTGAATCTTCTCTCAGTCTTCCGGTTGAGACATAGTGCTTATGTCCAGAGAATGGTGGGAGGGGAAAGATTTATGTACTGAGTCTTTATCTACATAATGAAACGGCCTTGAGATGAAGCTGAATCTTGCTTGAACTAATGACTTTCTGAGTGATTTTGGTAAGCTATGGTACCTCTTTGGGCTTTCACCTTCTCTTACATGAAGTGGTTTTCACGGTTCTCGTTTGTTTTTGTTGTTGACGTCTTACACTATAGTACTGAATTACATGCACTATTGACACTTCACATCTGAGAGCAGAGTGGATTAAAAGGAGAAGAAGGTAAAGTGGATGTCTCAATGCCATCATTGGCACCACTGTCAGCAGCAGCAGTCCTTCACATCCTATGTAAAATGTGGCTGGAGATGGACTGCCTTTGTGATTGAGGATCATGGAAGAGGAGTAGCAGAATGGATGTGTTTGGATGTGGAAGAGGGAGTGGAGAACTGCCGAGAGAGGGAATTTTCATCAGCAAAAGCAGAGCTGAGTAGAGTCATGAGTCAATGACCACAGAAGAGTAAAGCCTCACACATGTGTGGATGGGAAGGTAAATGGACTGGAACTCTGTGGTAGTAGTAGCCTCTTCAAGATTGATTGTAGAAGCGAGGCTACAGAAATCAGCCAAATGTCACCTGTCACTAGGACTGCCCCTTCTGCTTCCAGCAGAATCATTCAGTCCTGAAACCTCAGAGCTCAGACCTCAACCTTGTGCAAACCCAACCCTCTCATGGTCTAGAAGCGAGTGATACAGTTCACAAGAGGAAGGAGGAAGCTTCTCTAAGGTCATACAGCTCTAGAGTTGGAATCAGAACTCGGGTCACTGGATTTCCATTCCACAGTACACTCCAATGTCACACTGTCACAAATCAAATTCCAGGGCAAGCTTGCTTGTGACAGAGAGGCTCACCACCCAGCTCCTTTGCAGCTTGCCCTCATCCTGCTCCCTCTCCTAGTTAACTGGAATCCACAGGGATCTTAGCAACGCTTCTCTTCCTCAATTTATAAATCGGGTGCTTGACGTCGATTGTTTCTAAGGTCCCTTTAGCTTTGATGATCTGTGCTCTCCAGTGGGTGCACCATGAAGGCTGTCAGATGTCCGAGTAGGAGGAGGACACAACAATGACAGGTGGTGTCCCTGACTCTGGAGGGGGACTTGGCAGAGCTGCCTTCCTGGATGGGGAACAAGGAACTAGCAGGAGGATCTACCCACTTTGGACAAAAATCTGATTCACCAAGAGGAGGAAGGAAAGAGGGCCCATGAGTGAGTAGCAAAAGACTCCACAAAAGATGTTTGTTGTCTCCTAAGTCCTGGGTCCCCAAGCCTACTCCGTGCACAGAATACAAAAGGATTACTCAGGCAAATCCAAAAACTTTCATTTACAATATTCTTATTGAAATTAAAGGAGAGCACTACTTTTTGAGATAAAAATAGTCCAGGATTATTCAGCAACTTTTAATGACTCAGTTCTCCATGGCAAAGTCAGAGGGATCTTCCTAAAATAAAAACTGGGCCGTGGTAAGTTCTTGCTTAGAGTATTTCAGGGATTGTGTGGAAGGGTTATGGAATCCTTGGTGTGGTCTCCAGGCTCTGGAGATGGATGTCTCCTCTTCCCACCTTTCTGGCCCCCTCCCAGCTTCTCCTCTGCCATTACTACCTTATTTCATTCCCAGTAGTCTCTGCTTTCTCAAAGGAACCAGCTGGTACCCTCTTCCCTGCTTTATGTGTTTGCTGTTCCTGCAAGCATGGAACCATGAGGAATGCTGTCCTCTTCAGTTCTCTTCAACCTACTTTTGATCTTCTTCAATGCGATTGTGCCACTTGATCAGAAAGGCCCTTCATCCTCTCCCCATCATGACTCCCCTGTGATACCCTTGATCAGAATCACATCATCCTTTCCCTCTCAGCAAGTAATTATATCATGTTATATATTTGTTTGAGCTCATGCATCACTCCCCTTATTATTGCCAAGCCTTGTAAGACCAAGAATCATATTTATTGTTTATATCCTGGGAACGTTTATACTAATACACTGCTAGGAAGATAGAGAATGCTGGGTGAAAGATTTTACTTTGGAAAAAATAAATGCACAGTCCACGAGTGTGCACATCAGGAAGAAGTGTCAGAGAGTGTGAAAGGCCAGGGTTCTTTCAAAAGTGCCTTCAGGGGCACTTGTGCATTTACATAAATCAGTGCTCAGTGCCCCCACTCTCATGATAGCTACTTCAATACCATAAAATGTCCAGGCTGGCAGAATGATGGAATGACCTCTAACCTAGTCGTACTTTTTTGGTGGGGGAGGGAGCCTATTTCCCAGCCAAAGCTTTCCCCCAAACCTCTAAATATATAAATCACATGAAATCAAAGGTTTCTAACCAATGTAGGC